CAATGGACCATCAGCCCCGTGAACTTTTGGACACCAACCCTCACATGCATGCAGGTATTGCTCATCGAAGATCGGCAGAAGGCGACACTGGCAGCCGCGGCGAAGGAGAAACAGCTGAAGGAAGAGGTAGAGAAGAAAAGGAGGAGGAGGATGTCGCCTTTAAGCAGAAGGAGAGGGACTCAACGAGGAACAACAAGAAAAACGTCAGGAGGCCAGGGACACATTTTTTGACAAGTTTCCCATCCAGATGCAGTTGCGGAAGTGGTGTGAACAGGCTCTGCCCCCGACGCATATGCAGTCGGTTAATGCTGGTTGCCTATCAAGACGATTAGCCCCCGATCCAGATGCAGTTGCGGAAGTGGTGTGAACAGGCTCTGCCCCCGATGCAGATGCAGTCGGTTAATGCTGGTCTATTCTGCCCCCGACTGATTAGCCAAAACTCTCAAGGGCTGCCTATCAAGACGAACACGCTGCACAAAATGCAGAGCAGGGCTTCTTCACCGGAGTCATTTCGCAGCTCATGCAGACTTCCATCCCGCCAGAAACGGATATTTATCGGCAAGGAGGGCGGGTGAATAGATTAGCAGACCGCTTGACAATTGTGAAACTGCCGGTCCCATCTGACCCTATTCCTGCCTCTATTCCTCCCACCACGTATTCGCATATGACGAGTGCATCAGCAAGTTGCAGGCCGCTTCCGTGGCCATCCCCACTCACATTGAGCAGGCCAAGTCAGAGCTGCAGAAGGGACCTGCAGAACCTGCTTGCAAAGTTCACCTTGTTACAGCAGGCTGCGCACCAGCGTCCAGCATCCTCTTTGTCAAGTCTTTTTTTTTTTTTTTTTTTTTTTTTTTTTTTTTTTTTAGTAGCCACTAGTACCTTTGCCGCTTCAGAAATGAGGGAAAACGCCAGCTCCCAAAGAATTCGGAGGCCGGGCCCGACAACGGCTGCCATTGATAAATCTAATCGGGCGGCCGTCGTTTCGTTTCGGCTTCTCCTGAAAGGTCGGAGGCCCGATATTTTCCAAATTGACAAAGGTACTAGTGCTTTGAAGCAGAACAATCTCCGGAGGCATTACAAGATGCCCAGGCGGAGAACGTCACCCTGTTAAACAACTACAGCAAGACTGATGCAACACGGCATGGCACTCGTTCAAGACCAGCTTATCTGTCCGGCAGGGTGCCCACAGGCTGTCGCAGCACCTGACTGCATTGTAAATCAACAGGCAATTGTCAATCACGGCTCCCCACCAATAGACCGGAGCACCCAGGTCTCTTGCTAGGAGGCGGTGCTCTTATCACCTCTCCTAGCAAAGACACTGGGGTTGAAAACAAAAAAAAAAAAAAAACCCGGCTTTGCAACCTATCTGTGGCATACTGCGTAGCCACACGGGCCTGCAGGGCCCGTCCCGCATTCTCAGCCTAAAAGCCTAGAAATAAGGGCTTACAGGCCCCTGTTGTTTCAGCCTGAAAACAGAAACGAGGGCCTGCAGGGCCCGTCCCGCATTCTCAGCCTAAAAGCCTAGAAATAAGCGCTTACAGGCCCCTGTTGTTTCAGCCTGAAAACTGAAAACGAGGGCCTGCAGGCCCTATTTCGTTTTCAGCCTAAAACAGGGCTTTTCAGCCCTGAGGCTTTTCAGCCTGAAACGGAGGGCCACTTTCGGGCCCTCATAAGATCGACCTACCCTAACACTCAGGCACAAATCCAGGGTTTCGGGAACAGGCTATTTCTGGCCTGTTCCCACGACAGCCTCAAGCAGGAGCTGCAGCGGCAGCCCCTGACTCCCTTCGGCATTGGCAAGAGCAGCCTCCTGGACTGCCTCGCCCTGCAGTCAGGAGGCAGGCCGAGAAGTACATAGGGAGTTCCCATGCACTTCACGGGTAGGTAGTTGGACAGAAGGCAGGAGTAGTCTTCAGGATTCGTCCGCAGCACTCAGGAGGAGCGCTGCAGGAGTAGCTTAGCGCTAGCAGTAGTCTTCAGCGCTGGGCGCTAGTAGCCATAGCAGTAGTCTTCAGCGCTGGGCGCTAGTAGGTGGTAGTAGTAGCGTTGGGAGAGATGGCTGGCGGAGGCCAGTGAGACTTACCTGTGGCGCCATAGCTCCAGCTCCATCTTCAAGGTACCTGCATCAAGGTGCCAACTTCACAGGTTAGTACCGGACTGAGAGAGAGAGAGAGAGCTCTTCTTCTTCCTCTTCTAAGTCCACCATCTCTTCTTCCCCTCTCACCACCTGACTTCTCAATATCAGCGTTCTACTACAGAGAGAGAGAGTTGTGACTTGAGACTTGACGACATTGGATCCAGACTCGACATTGGGATTCAGACATTTTGACGAGGGACTATTTGGGCCTGTGCCGAAGACTTTGTGACGACATTCCCATCTTCCCCTCTTCTTCGTCTAACCCCCCTCTTCTTCGTCTGTGTATGGTTGGGGCTGGCGCATTCTTCCTGTGTGAGCGCCAGACCCCTTCACACCATGGCGTGATGATGATGATGTATGTTCGGGGCTGCATTGCAATATTGATTGTTCGGATCATTGGTATCTAAGTTTTCCGCTGCGCTATCTTGTACTTTGTTAGAGAGGTCGGTTCTTGTTCTGGTCTGCACCTTTACAGTATGCAACAGGCAGCAACTGGAGTTGAATCTGAAT